ACCACCCATCTTGAGGAGTTTGCCCCCTCACATATACTAATGTGCCACAAACAGGACTTTAATATCACCAACCATTCCCATTTTATTACGGTGTATCCATATAAATGGCCCACCCTGTATATAAGTGAGGCTCCAGAAGAGTCTCTTTTCACTGTTGGAGCATGTGCTTATGGGAAACACTCTGGGGACACTTTTGATTCTTTGACTAATGACCCTGCTCTTTTTGTCAACAATCAGTTTTGCAGCAAACTCTGTTTTTTCCCAGAGGTTCTTTTTTGAGTGTTGTTACTTTTTAATAGACTAAAAAGTGAGATTCCAAAAGTGATCGGCCAGAGAAAGATTATCATTTTGGCTCCGGATTTTTAACACACTTTTGTGCTAATTATATGTAAAAAAATTACCTGTGATTTGTGTTTATGCTTTACTGTAATTAACTTCTTATAAATACATTATGGTCGGTCTAGAATTAATACAGTTCAAAAGAACAAAATATTTTTCCTGCATAAAAACTGGCTGCTGCAGGTCTGGCTAAATCTATTTTTGGGCCTAAAAATTCTGACTTAAGTTATTTTTATTGATCAATTTTAAGTGTCAATATAGTTATACATAAAAATATGATATGTTAAATGATTCCACAATTTAATACATTTTGTTTAATACATTTCTTTAAAGCTAAAATAACAAAACCTTCTAATGAGCTCATACTGACTAAACATTTATGTATCCATTCTGGAAAACCTGTGACATCTACTGTTACAGCTCTAAATTCTGGATAAGCATCAACTGGCCTTTTTTATTATCTTTGAGTTCATCTGCAATAGGCTAGTGACATGTTCAAGGTCAGTTGTGGGCAATGCAACAGTCACTTTAGACCTTGTTAACAACAAACTACCCATTTAAGATGGGCATACACTGTGCGATTTTTGGCCCATTTTGGGATGATTTTTCACTTATGCAACCATTTTGGGGATCGGCACAAGTTTCGCCTTAATCGTGTGTCATGCATAGTGTAGTATACATGGGATAATGCGAAGCAATTAACACCTCGCTGCCAGCTCCCGATCAGCAATCGTGTGGCCACGAGAAAATCAAACCTGTTTGAAATCCTGGTCGCCTCCTGTGAGGGTATTGCACTGCTGAAGCAGTGCCACGAGTCGATTTAACGCAACCTCTCACACTGCGCATGCACAAACACAGAAATGGAAATGACAGAGACAGAGCAGAATGGCAGTGCAGCGTGTGATCTGGACACAAGCGATGGAGGCCCAACTTGTAAAACTTTGGCAAGCCTTTTCGATGTGGCCTCACAAAACTATCACGACTGCAACAACCGAGAAAAGAGCTGGATGGACATTGCTGCTCAATTATGTTCTTCATTAGCAATTTAGCAAAGTTGATGGTGGTACGTGTGTGTGTGTCTGTGTGAGTGAAAGACAGAGAGGGAGAGAGAGACAGATTTTGTGTTATATATTGGCTATATAATATTTAGACGCAAATTTGGACGCACAGTGTGAGCACTCAGGTCGTATCAAAGCTTCGAGCCGTATAGCCGTATATATGCCCAGCTTTAGGCATGCAGAAGGTTCAAAGCGCCATTTCTCCATTGATTTGGAGTTCACTGGAAAACATAGGATTTCTCAGGAAAAAAAAGAACTCTTTAGCTGCTAAATAGTGAATATGTTGCTGTTAAATTTGGCAGCAATTTGGTGGTGAACAGATGGAGCCTGTCCACCGCCTACAGGTGGAAACAGTAAAGATGAGAGCGGGTGAATTTAAACAAGTTGCTGCCCATAATATAAGATTAGTGAGAAGAATGACATTATGTTACAACTCTCTGTGGGTTCTTCACTGACAGTCTTTCACATTATGCATCAATATTTAATCCATTTTGAATGTGGAATTATAGATGAGCGCAGCTTTAATGTTCACTTACTGTTTAATAGTGCCAGTGGTCAGAGCACTAATAATCCACTGCAGATCCAGAGTCTTGAAAGGGATCAGCACCAGACTAGTAATATTGTCCAGGTCTATGGCACTTTCTGGATACATGACGTGATGAGTTGTCCTGCTGCCCACATCCTCCTCAAAACCACTGGTGGGAGCCTGGTTCATCCTGCAGAAATAGAAGAAGACTTTTCTGAGTTATTTGTCACACATTCTCTTTCCACTTTAGTGCTTTTGCCATCTTTGTCTTTTATTCGACAGTTCAAATTGAGTTTTATTTCACCCACATGTTACAAAGATGGAAACCATTTGGCTGCTGTTATGCGAATCCCTATAATCTTCAAAGGGTCTGTCTTATAGACCATGTGTTTAATTATCAAGATTCTCTCATGTCACCCAAACCACATGTCGCTGAGTCATACAAAACCAGCCATGATTGTGAGAGACAAAGACAACAATAAAAAGCACAATTTGTCCTGCTCTCCCATTTTTGGGCATCCAGACAGTAATTTTGAGATCAACAATTACCACCTGGCAAGCATCCCTTTCATTATGTCAAACAATACTCTCTTAAACTGGAGCGGTAATTGGCAGGAACATAGCTTGACACTGGCAGTTGGTTTTGGTCAATGGCAGAAAGTGACACAGAGGAAAGAGAAATCATGAAGCTGACCTCCTATGTAACTAGCAACACCTTTTTGAGCGCTCTGGTCTGGGCAATATCATCTTCCTCATTACTGACTCTTGGGTGACAGAGATGTGATATTTTCAGACTGCTTCTTGAATCATTTTGACTCCTGACAGACTAATTGTTTTTTTGTTTTTTTTTCTTCTTCTTTTTGCTGCAGCTATTTATGGTTGACAAAAATATTTGGGTTATTTGATGTTGCGACTTTTCATTTGAAATGACCTTGCACAAATTGAGACAGTGACAGTCTGGGTATAAAAGTAAAATTTAAGAAAGCGGTTGCAGCATCTGGAAAATATTTCCCGAGCGGATGATTGTTACTTTACTTCTAATTGGTGCTGAAATGCTTGGCCCAGGGCTTAAGATATTATATTATTTTTTATTTTAGACCGGATATGGTAGTAGAATATTTCAATTCTTTAGTGAATTTCAGGTATTTGAACATATAAAAATTGGAAATTCCCTCTTTTTTCTCAGAAAACTGTTGGGTCTGTGTTTCCACAAACCCCGCTAATTC